GTGACAGATTGGTTCAACTTGAAGTTGAAAACTCAGATGAGTCACAGAGATGTTGGGAAGTGTTTCTTCAGTCATTGAGTTGTCAAGAAGTGGAACAATCTGGAGAGTGATGTAATAGAAGCAGGATCCATACATAGCTTTAAGAAGAGATACGATTAAAGCTCTTGGAGCAGGGAGAGAGAAAGGACCTAGTAGCGACCAGCGAAGAGGCGGAGTGGGTGAGTACACAGCGTCACTGGGGTTGTTGAGATAAGAGACAACCTTGCGTCATATCTTTGTGCTCTAGACACTTATGAGACCGCTGATAATGAAAAATAAGAGTAATGGTGGACTTTGTGTTAGAAAAGAGTGAAGTGGAGATAGGTGGAGGAGTTTTGAGGGAACGAGGGGAAGTTATGAGGGAAGAGGGGGAGGTATGGGTAGGGAAGCAGGATAGAGTGAAGATGATGAGGGGAAGGAATGAGAGATAAGAGGTTAGGTTAGGTAAGATATGTCAGGAAACAGGACGAGTGTTTCTTGACGCGGGTCTTAGGCATATGACGATCCGTTGCTGGAGCTTTTAGCCATCTGACCGAGGTCTTCCACTGGCGTACCCCTTCACCTCTTTAAAAATTATAGTTAACAATCAGAGATAAGAGGTGATGAAAGAGGATATGGTTGCTGGGAAAGCAGAGGAAAAAGACGAGAACGCAAGATCCCATGGGAAGATAAAACACATCCATGAACTAGAATTGATTAAGGCATCTCCGTATACCGTAAGCCCAGCCACATCTACCTCGGTATGGAAGGTATTCCTGTATCCTATAAAAACCAGCCCTCTACCACACAGATGATCCGGAGAGGATATCCCTGTATTCCACAAATCCACGGCATTGTAAGTTGGTTTTGAATTGTTCCAGTCACCAAATGTACCAAATTTCAAGTGAGAATGATGTTGGTTGTTTGTTAACTGCGTTTAAAGCCACATCAAACATCCGTAGGAGTAACAGAAGAGTGAGACATAATATTGCTTGCTGTATCTGGTTCGACGCGGTGAGTGACTATCATCAGAAAACTCACCTATTCACATGTGTCCTACTTCCTACCCGAGTAGCGGTGGTGGTGGTGGTGACGGTAGTTTTTTTTGTTTTTTTTTTTTTAACCAAACTGGGTACATGAACAGTGTTGCTACAGTATTCTATATGATAGTCACACAGTGGGAACACCAGTTCTTGTTTCCTTCTTGTATTCCATTATATATGATAGTGGTGGTGGTCATGGAGGGGATGGAGTATTGTGACCTGTATTGAAGCCAAATACTAAATAAATCTCAAGGTAGTACAACCCTCCTCATCCCTCTACTACCACCACCACCACTGCTACTTCCTCTACTACCACCACCACCACTGCTACTTCCTCTACTACCACCACCATCACTGCTACTTCCTCTACTACCACCACCACCACTGCTACTTCCTCTACTACCACCACCACTGCTACTTCCACTACCACCATCACCACAATCTCCAGTCCACCACCCTATGACCTATTATACAACTTAAAACAACGAATTGTGTAAAGCCACAGATCAGATTTTTAAACAAGATAACCCATATTTTTCCCAACCCACTTAGATAACTGAGCTTAGATAAGAGTAACTTCCGGTCTGGTTCTGTAACCACAGATACTGTTGTGTCTTCTTAGTAAAGACTATTATTACTGTTATGTCATTATTTTTTATTATTAATTTATTATTATGCATGGGAAAGTGACAAACCAGCAAGGGCCATACAGGACCTGGGATGAATGGGAGACAATCAGGTTCGATCTGAGAGAGGGTAACTAGCGTTCTTTGGATCAAGAACCCATGTTCAGCATCAAGGTACACTACCCCCCCCCCTCATCTTCCCTAGAAAGGAAGAGCATACGCTGATTTATTTTTTTTTATATTTTTAATCAGCCTCTCTCCTGTTTTTATCCTGTCTTTCTGGCAGTCTGTTCGGCTGTCTGTCTGTCCGGCTGACTGGCTGGCTGTCTGTTCGGCTGACTGGCTGGCTGTCTGTCCGGCTGACTGACTGGCTGTCTGGCTTTCCGTCGTCTCTCTGATTCTGTATGAAGTCCTGGTATGACTTCCTGTCGTGTCTGTCTGTGTCTAGTTTCGTGTCGTCACGATTACGAAGTATGAGATGTTCACAGAATTTGACCAAGTTAATTTAAGTAATACCACACGAACAACACTGACATCAGCACCCTCACACGAACAACACTGACATCAACAATCTCACACGAACAACACTGACATCAGCACCCTCACACGAACAACACTGACATCAACAATCTCACACGAACAACACTGACATCAGCACCCTCACACGAACAACACTGACATCAACAATCTCACACGAACAACACTGACATCAGCACCCTCACACGAACAACACTGACATCAACAATCTCACACGAACAACACAGACATCAGCACCCTCACACGAACAACACTGACATCAACAATCTCACACGAACAACACTGACATCAACAATCTCACACGAACAACACTGACATCAACAACCTCACACGAGCAACATTAACATCAACACTCTCACACGAACAACACTGACATTAACAATCTCACACGAACAACACTGACATCAATAATCTCACACGAACAACACTGGCATCAACAACCTCACACGAACAACACTGACATCAATAATCTCACACGAACAACACTGATATCAACAATCTCACACGAACAACACTGACATCAACAATCTCAAACGAACAACACTGACATCAACAACCTCACACGAACAACACTGACATCAACAACCTCACACGAACAACACTGACATCAATAATCTCACACGAACAACACTGATATCAACAATCTCACACGAACAACACTGACATCAACAATCTCAAACGAACAACACTCACATCAACAACCTCACACGAACAACACTGACATCAACAATCTCAAACGAACAACACTGACATCAACAACCTCACACGAACAATACTGACATCAACAATCTCACACGAGCAACATTAACATCAGGAAATACTTGTCCAGTAACAAGGTGATAAGAAATTGTAATGACGCGCTTGGACGAGGCAGCGGTGGAAGAAAATCTCGTAACAGTTTCCAGAGTACGTAACGAGGGTCACCAAGCCTGGTGCAAGATTGCAGGCAGACTGTGGGAAGCAGGGGCCAGGAGCTGTGGCTCGACCCCATCCAACACAGGTCGATGACCACATACATACCCATACATACCCTCAACGTACCGTTATAGGTAAAGGAACATCACACACGTATATACCTTCACGTACTATGGTATATACTAAATCAACCTCACACACACACACGTACATAGCCTCACGTACTGTGTAGATCAATCAACCTCACACACGTACATAGCCTCACGAACTGTGGTAGATAAGTCAACCTCACACACAAGTACATAGCCTCACGTACTGTTGTAAATAAATCAACCTCACACACGTACACAGCCTCACGTACTGTTGTAGATAAGTCAATCTCACACACGTACATAGCCAAACGTACTGTGGTAGATCAATCAACCTCATACACGTACACAGCCTCACGTACTGTGGTAGATCAATCAACCTCATACACGTACACAGCCTCACGTACTGTGGTAGATCAATCAACCTCATACACGTACACAGCCTCACGTACTGTGGTAGATCAACCTCACACACGTACACAGCCTCACGTACTGTGGTAAATCAATCAACCTCACACACGTACACAGCCTCACGTACCGTGGTAGATCAATCAGCCTCACACACGTACACAGCCTCATGTACTGTGGTAGATCAATCAACTTCACATACGTACACAGCCTCACGTACCGTGGTAGATCAATCAACCTCACACACACGTACACAGCCTCACGTACCGTGGTAGATCAATCAGCCTCACATACACGTACACAGCCTCACGTACTGTGGTAGATCAATCAACCTCATACACGTACACAGCCTCACGTACTGTGGTAGATCAATCAACCTCATACACGTACACAGCCTCATTTACTGTGGTAGATCAATCAACCTCATACACGTTCACAGCCTCACGTACTGTGGTAGATCAATCAACCTCATACACGTACACAGCCTCACGTACTGTGGTAGATCAATCAACTTCACACACACGTACACAGCCTCACGTACCGTGGTAGATCAATCAGCCTCACACACACGTACACAGCCTCACGTACTGTGGTAGATCAATCAACCTCATACACGTACACAGCCTCACGTACTGTGGTAGATCAATTAACCTCACACACACGTACACAGCCTCACGTACTGTGGTAGATCAATCAACCTCACACACGTACACAGCCTCACGTACCGTGGTAGATCAATCAACTTCACACACACGTACACAGCCTCACGTACCGTGGTAGATCAATCAACTTCACACACACGTACACAGCCTCACGTACTGTGGTAGATCAATCAACCTCACACACGTACACAGCCTCACGTACCGTGGTAGATCAATCAACCTCACACACGTACACACACACGAAGACGCCATACAACCAAACTAGTGTAGATCCCTAATACCTACGGTAGTTTGATCGCAATTACGTACCATCATCCGTGGTCAGCTACGCAACATTTCCACAATAATGACGTATCTGCTCGTTTACCCGGAAAACTGCTGTTCTCTTACAGATAACACTAACATACCACTCATTCTGTCCGACTGACTCAACCCTCGCCAACACATCACAGGTTATCACACTTCCCCCCCCCCCTTTTTTTTCCTGACAGTCCAATAGATCACACATTTAGCCTATTTAACCTAACATTCGTATCTGTGAATTCTAAGTGCACGCGGAAGAGAAAAATAATAGATATTTTATTCAGACGAAGCCAGTGCCAATGCGGAGATTGGGACACTTCCAGGATGCCTTATCGCCTTTGTTGAAAGCTAGCAGAGTTTTTGACTTTCCTGCAGTATCAGATAACTGCTATAAAATAAGTAGGTTAGAGCGGCTTGGTGGTCACATCTTGGTGAGCGGTGAGGCGGGGAGGTTGGCTGCCAGTCTCCAGGAAGACAACGAGCATCTTAAACACAGGAACCTGACTGATCAACATCATTCATGTTTAACATGTCTGAGAGATGCGGCCTGCCTATTGACGTGAGTATATTTTTACGTTAACATATTTACTTTTTTTTTAAATATATCATCCCCAAAATTTTCAATAGTAAGCTATATTATAAAGCTCCTCTGCATAGAAGCGTTTTTTTTTTTTTTGCAAATGGAATTGAAAAGTACATTTAAAATTAAATAGGATGTTCGAAAAAACTCACATGGAGACAGAAACTCCCAAAATTAACTGATCTGTATATTTCGATCCCCTGCTGGGATCCTCTTCAACAGGAAGTCGAAATATACTGACCAATTATGTAGATAAACGGGTCAGAGAACCACTGATGGACTGTTTACATCAACTCCAGGCCGAGGGACTGATTCCCTCAAACATTTTCTAATCTTCACCATTCTTTTTTTATATAGGACTGATGACGCTACTGTGTGGCAACGTTTCCACAATAAAGATACCCAAGTGTTGCACATGTGTCTAATTTATCAACAGACCAATTGATTTTTTGAATTTGTCTCCATGTGGGTTATTACTGAGAATTGACAGGTGTCCATTACACTTTCTTTAGCTATTCATTAAATAGTATATTTTATTAAAAGCCTTCATAGCATGCGCTATTAAATTTCGAGTGCACCTTTTTCAATGGCATTAAAAAATCACACAATAGAGGAAAGTTATAAGAGAGTTTACTGTATTACTATTGTCATTTCAGACTGTATCTTGGGTATGATCGTAAATCCACCTCTGACTTAATTACAGTTAATGGGTACCCGTGGGTACCACTGGAATCGTACTCACAGTACAGTCTCGGGTACCCGTGGGTACCACTGGAATCGTACTCACAGTACAGTCTCGGGTACCCCTGGGTACCACTGGAATCGTACTCACAGTAGTCTCACAGTCTCTTGGAAGGACTACAACCCACGAGAGAACACTTCCCAGTCCCCTGGTTCTCTCAGACCAGTCATTCCTCTTGCCATTCCTGACCTTAAAACTCTGATAGTCTGACCTAACTTAAAGTAACTCTTCAGAGAGGACCTAGTAAATACATGAGAGTTATAGCCTAACGAGATTTGCTTTAAGAGATATAGGTCCACAAAAAGCCCATTGATAGCGGAAGAGAATGTTACATTACCAATTATTAAGCTTACAAATTCAAGTTGCGTCTCTAATGTATGATGTGACTGGAGCAGCATCACTGACATTATTATAATTATTGCATTTGAAAAATAAATTCTGTTAACTGATCTCCAAATATACCCATACATATTACATATATTAAGTTACTTGCTTAGTTTTTTCCATATACAGACCTATATACACGGGGAGTAAAGGCGAGTATTACGGTGAGTAAAGTATTCTTGTTAGGCTACAGAGGACTTAGAGCCTTAATGATCCACGTGACTACACTTATAACTTAACAAACCTTTATTAAATAATTGTGTTGATTCATGGTAATTTTGTTTTCACAGAGGTGCGTATTAGGGACAGTGTTGCTGCTTGCTCTCTCTGGTATCACTGCTGGTATCACAATGTTATATACTCAGGGCAACTCTCAACATGTCCTTCTTCTCATCTCCTGCAGCGGTGAGTGTGGTGGCTGTTTGCTCTTCTGTTTAGCTCATGTGTTGCATAGTTAGAAATAGCTATTATGTTTCTCGTGTTGCATTACCTAAGCATAATTGGGGCCTGTTTGTAGGTGTTGTGTGTGTGTATAATGATCTTGCGCTACCCTCCACTGGATGGATAATAAATTTACAATAAACAAGCCGCTTCGGCGGCAAATTCTAACATAATTCTATAAATTCAAGCATAGCAGAACGGAGCTGTTGTTTGCATTCTGTGTTGCATTAAACATAGTTGAGTTTTCTATTCTGCCTTACCATAATTAATTTCCTGGTGTCTTTACAGGTGTTATTTCCATATTAATGGTGATCGGAATGTTCTTATCCAACACTTGGGCTTCAAGGCACTTGCCGTCACCGCAGGTGGGGGCTCCTCCAGCCCTGGACCTGCCACCCACCTACCGCAACACCTGGAGACTCCAGTACTTTAGCAAGACTCCAAGAAACGTTTGGATGGAAATGGAGAACACGGGTGAACTAAAAAATAATAGCCTCTCCAGAGGAGAACTAATGGATACCTCACCAGACATTATTACTGGTCACGATGGTGCCACGACTACAGCTTCAGTGTATATCATCAGTGAGGGTCATCTGTCTGGCACTACAGAACACAGAGCGTCAGAATTTGGGGAGCAAACACGAAGCTACACAGTGCCTGCTGACGTTCATAATGCACAGATAAACTCTCAGCGACAGAACATTGGGGTTACCATCGATTCTGATGAAGGTCTACCACGTTTTGAAGACTTGGAGTTAGGCTGAGTGGATAATTTTGGTTAGGTCGTAAATCGCCTACTGAACAGCTCAACTACAATCAGCCCTCTATTGTCTTTTAGCTAAATGCAAAGCTACTGACAGATTGCTATTATCATTATGTACATATATACAGAGAAGCGCTAAACCCGTAATTCATATAGCCTCCCAGAGAAACAGGAACGAGAGGTACGCAGGTTTGATCCAATGAAGTGTAGGGTAGCTCCAGTTCCCTGAATGAAGAGCCCTTGATCGGCGTCAAAACACTTCTCTTGCAGGGAATAAGCAGATGGCACAGGATCATCGTCAATATTACGTCTTAAATAACATTATTATTATTCAACTGGAAAGAAAATATCTTCTAAACACTGAATGATAACACAGGTCAGAGGAACTCGGTGACTAGTGAGGATAAGTACGCAGGTCTTGATATCTCTGCGTGTAGATAACCTATATTACAAGACCCAAATGGTTACACTATGTTTACTTTTATCAACATATTTATCATTTAAAGTAGCACTTAGTACCGTAGCCAACGAATATACAGAGTTAAAATTAAATCCTTACTAACTTCTTTACTAGTAGTACTTACATGGCAAGGCTCTTTCTTCACTACTTCAGCTAAATGAATGATATATATATATATATATATATATATATATATATATATATATATATATATATATATATATATATATATATATATATATATATATATATATATATATATATATATATATATTCTAACCACGAACGAGAGTTGTATTGAATCAATAACAACACTGCGACTAGCCGAGGATTCGAACCCATGTCGTTTTGGCCCACCCTATGGTGAGCGAAAATCACATATGACGCTCTAACCCACAGGATCACGTAATCCTACAAAAACCACGCACCCAGCGTAGCTAGGAGTTTTATCGTGACCCGAGGACATATGGTGATGTGGGTGCCTCTGAGCTAATCTCATTCTTCTCCCCGTTTAGTGTACTAGCCTCCACGAACAGTATTTTATATTAATGTAAGCATAAACGAGTGGTGTTGAATCAGTAACAACACTGCGACTAGCCGAGGATTCGTCACATAACCTTAAATTATGAGAAACTAAAACATACATCAGGTAATGTCTGATCTTAATGATAATGTAGAAGTGAATATGTATAGCAGAGTATATATGTAATATCCAGCAGGATGAACAAATTATCCTGGTGACTCACACTTTAGTCTCTTAGACATACAAACATTGTAAATGTTAGTCCACCTAATTACACACTAAATTATATAAAAATTTTAAGCCAAATATTTGTAATTTAACTTCGTTAATTGTGAACACTGTGTCCGTTTTTTTAATAAATCTTCATTTTTCACATGCGTGCATTTTTTTTTTTTAATATTGAAACATTGTGAGGTACAATACATAATGAGGTATGAGTTCAGAACACATATAGAGGTAAAAAAAAAATACCTAAACACACAACTCAAAAAATATCATAAAAATGATAAAAATCATAACCATAATTTTTAAAGGGGTGGACCGGTAAGTCAGATGACCAAAAGCTCCAGCTCCGGGTCGTCATATGACTTAAGACCCGCGTCAGGAACACTTGTCCAGTTTCCTGACAAATTTTACCTAACTACTCAAAAAAGAGAGAAGGCCAGGTGAGAGGCTATAGTAAATGTTCAAGGGATGGGATAGAGTCCAGAGAGACAAGATGGTTTAAATTAGAACAGAGAGAGCCAAGCAACAAGGATGGCAGCTTAAGTCACATGTAGCAGACATGAGAGACGACATAAGTCACATGTAGTAGACATATGAGAGACGACATAAGTCACATGTAGCAGACATATAAGAGACGACATAAGTCACATGTAGCAGACTTATGAGAGACGACATAAGTCACATGTAGCAGACATATGAGAGACGACATAAGTCACATGTAGCAGACATATGAGAGACGACATAAGTCACATGTAGCAGACATATAAGAGACGACATAAGTCACATGTAGCAGACATATGAGAGACGACATAAGTCACATGTAGCAGACTTATGAGAGACGACATAAGTCACATGTAGCAGACTTATGAGAGACGACATAAGTCACATGTAGCAGACATATAAGAGACGACATAAGTCACATGTAGCAGACATATAAGAGACGACATAAGTCACATGTAGCAGACATATAAGAGACGACATAAGTCACATGTAGCAGACTTATGAGAGACGACATAAGTCACATGTAGCAGACATATAAGAGACGACATAAGTCACATGTAGCAGACATATAAGAGACGACATAAGTCACATGTAGCAGACATATGAGAGACAACATAAGTCACATGTAGCAGACATATAAGAGACGACATAAGTCACATGTAGCAGACATATAAGAGACGACATAAGTCACATGTAGCAGACGTATAAGAGACAACATAAGTCACATGTAGCAGACATATAAGACGACATAAGTCACATGTAGCAGACATATAAGAGACGACATAAGTCACATGTAGCAGACATATGAGAGACGACATAAGTCACATGTAGCAGACATATAAGAGACGACATAAGTCACATGTAGCAGACATATAAGAGACGACATAAGTCACATGTAGCAGACATATAAGAGACGACATAAGTCACATGTAGCAGACATATAAGAGACGACATAAGTCACATGTAGCAGACATATAAGAGACGACAACATAAGTCACATGTAGCAGACATATAAGAGACAACATAAGTCACATGTAGCAGACATATAAGAGACAACATAAGTCACATGTAGCAGACATATAAGAGACGACAACATAAGTCACATGTAGCAGACATATAAGAGACAACATAAGTCACATGTAGCAGACATATGAGAGACAACATAAGTCACATGTAGCAGACATATAAGACAACATAAGTCACATGTAGCAGACATATAAGAGACAACATAAGTCACATGTAGCAGACATATAAGACAACATAAGTCACATGTAGCAGACATATAAGACAACATAAGTCACATGTAGCAGACATATAAGACAACATAAGTCACATGTAGCAGACATATAAGAGACGACAACATAAGTCACATGTAGCAGACATATAAGAAACGACAACATAAGTCACATGTAGCAGACATATAAGACAACATAAGTCACATGTAGCAGACATATATACATGTATCTCATAGAAACAAAACTTTTGGGAATCGTAAATAATTGATTTTTAGTACTGGAGTATCAAATGATAAGGAAGAGAGAAAAAAACGTTGAGGAGGAGAAGGAAGAGTAAGACTTGTAAAACTGAGACCAATACAACAATGAGGATATCTTTAAAAATTTCACTGAGTTCTGTAGCTACGATAGCTGTAAAGGTTTCCATTCAGCTATACCGAAGTTATTTTTTTTTTTTACATCAGAACTACCATCTCTGAAGATGGCCGATTTCCCAAACTGAAAAAAAAATGGGAGGATGAAGTGGGGGAAGAGGGAGGAAGGTGAAAAAAACAGTGTGTGTAATTTATAATAAATTGGAGCAGTGACCCCAAAGAGAATAAATATTACCTAACTGATTATGTAAAAAAAATATGGTGAATTATCAGCACTTCTACCTTATCTCTGCATAAGACAGTGGTATATGATATTGTACCTTCTGTAGGGAGATGACTTTGACTTCTCGTTATCATTTATGCGCAGTTATACAAACATTATCACAGACTTAATTGTAGAGAACGAAACATACTACGTACTTATGTTAATAAAACACAACTGAAATGGGTTCAAGAACCCCCACAATATACCGTTTGTGGTATTTTATTGAGAATAAAATGTCTTAAACAACATAGTGTCATGTTAACATATTTGTTGGTATGTAATATCATATGCAAAACAACCACAGGGGGAGTTGAATGATAGCTCTAGGCCTATCGTATTGCAATCAACACTTCTTCAGGAGCTTGCAATGTTGCAGAAATGAGTAGGAAGTCCAGGTAGATTCGTTCAAGGGAACGACCCTAGCTAGAGCCTACCTAAACTTCCTACTCATTTCTGCAACATTGCAAGCTCCTAAAGGATGTGGTGATTGCAACACGAAAGGCCTAGAGCTATCGTTTAACTCCCCCTGTGTTTGCTTTGCATCCTGTATCACTTGTTCGCGATTATTGCATCAAGACACACACACACACACACACACACACACACACACACACACACACACACACACACACACACACACACAAAATATATATTATATTTATATATATATAATTTATATATATATATATATATAAAATATTTATATATATATATATATATATAACAATACTTATACCTACATACCCTTCAATGGTGGTACCTTGATAATGAAGAGCATTTGTGGGTTATAACATCAATATATATATATATATTATATATATATATATATTATATATATTTATATATAATATATATATATATATATATATATATATATATATATATATATATATTTTATATATGACATGACATACATATACATACCCTTCAGTGGTGTACCTTGATAATAAAGGACCTTTCACCCCAAGAACTTGGAGCCACTCATTCTTCAGATCTAAAACCTGATTAGCGCTCCTCACCCCATCCATTTCTGCCCATACGGTGTCATATCGGGTAGGGAACATGGGGTTGGTGGGGGAGGAAATGAACTTCTGCCACTCATTTGAAGGCCACATACCCACAAGTATTATACCCAGGAGACACAAGTGAACCATTTCAACCCTTTGGTACACCACTTAATCCTCTTCTCATACCCAGGAGTGCCAGCGAATAATAATCACAAAATAATAAAAATTTAAATAATGACAATAATAAAAATAATAATAATGGCAATAATAATAATAATTTAAATAATGACAATAATAATAATAATAATAATAATAATGGCAATAATAATAATAATAATAATGATAATAAAATAATAAAAAAATAATAATAATGATAAAATAATAATAATAATTAATAATAATAAAAATAAAATAATAATAATAATAATAATAACAATAATAATAGGCAAAATATCCTCACAAGAAGTGTTATTACTGCCTTAAGAGACATTCTTCCCATGGAAAACTGGCCAAGGCAGCCGTTAATAGCAATTGTTTATACCCATGGTAATTAAGGCCATCCATGCGTGTGTCTGGAAGTTCAGTGGTAGGAAGGGTATAATTATTCCATGGATTAGCGATACCGTCTTTTATGAGGGATGGATGGGGGGCGGGGGGCTGAAGAGTCCCGTTATATAGGAATTACTGAACTATGTGGTTCCCTCCCCTTCTGTCATCACCTTCAAGGCTCAGCCAGCGCCTCCCTCAGATATTTTTAGATGATGGCAACAACATTTCGGTTAATTGGATGTAGTGATGGGGAAGGGGTGACAATGGGGACATGAAGGGGTGACGGTGGGGAAGGGGTTGGATGGTAAAACAGATATGTGGAGGGATTTTTTTCAACTTAGCAAGATTGAATACATCAGCAGTGTGCTGCTGTTACTTTTATTCCATGTGATAATTACATAGTGGGAATTACAGCTACCTATTATGATTCCCTGTCATATACCATAACATACAGCGCTGAAATGTGAGAGCCTAAGAGACTTCAGCAGGAAAATAAAAATATCCTTAAGTATCCCAATAACAGTTGATGCTGCCATGAGATACAAGGTTCACCAGGAACCCAGAAATAATATACATTAACTATACTGAATCATCCCAGGTTAAATCTACATAATGTACTATATTTGAGTGACAATAACATTTGTGCGCCCTCAAGAACATTGTATATATTTTGAATTATATCAGGAACGTGCACGGTAAGCTGTCCAATATACAAAAACAGTTAGAAACAGAAATACAAATAGCTAGAGCTTCATTTAAGGAGGTTATTAATAGAATATTCAAGAGGTTGCTAGTAGAATTGCAGTAAATCAACCGTTCAAATCACTATGAAGCTGTGTGTAGTCTGTGGTCAGTCAAAAAAACAGGCTTCCACATCCCTTTTAAAATTGTATTTTTGTGGAAATTTTTTTTTTTTATATTTTTTTTAAAACCCAATCCCTTTTTAACAAAAAAATAAAGAAAAAAAAGTTGGAACCAAAATAAATTTAAAACTGAAAAAAAGGTTGGTACTTACATGCTGAAAAGTTATTAAAACCCAAAAAAATTCCCATCAAAAACAAAAATTTAAAAAAAAAATTTACTTGTCACGGGGTTTCATAAATTTGACATATTACAAAACCGGGCATAAAATAAATTTTTCATATAAAAGGGACTTCTGCCAAAGGGTTTCCCAATACATTTGGGAAAAAAAATATAAAAAGAAGTTTTATCAGTTAAA